ATCTGATTGCCAACATGGGTACAATGTGTGCCCATTTCTGGAGTCCACCAAAGGGATAATGCTGGAATATTGCTTAAAGATGATTTTTCCATGATTTTTCAAGACAAATATTGCTTTTTCCAGACACAACAATACATGTCTTAGGGTATTTTGATACCTTTAAACATATATGCTCATGATGTTGATCACTGGACTGTATAATATAGCTGGAATATTGCTGAGTGCGGCGTTAAACAACAAACAAACAACTCGCCGGTCTCCTCTATTTCTATATAGATCAGGTGGTTAAATCAGAGGTCATGGAATTGGCTGTTTGGTGCTTATTGAACGATTTCAGATCATCCATATATCTGAAGATAAATTGTCAAATCAATTGTTTTGATTTTCCCATTCCGGGAAGAAATTCCCGTCCATATGCATAAAAACAGATCCAGATCAGCTTTTTCCTAAATATCTTTCCCCTACATTTTACATAGATTTTATCATTTCACATATCATTCTCTATGTGAACAACTGAAGACAAAAACATGTTTACGAACTGTTCAGAGCCTGATAGAAATGTAATGGTTTCTATGGCCACCACTTTTAGTGACTAAGGGCACATGGATCAAGAAATGACGTTTACCCTTAACTCTGTAAAGTGATATAGCAGTGTACACGGAAGGGCGGTGTGGTATGGCATTTGTTCTTCTTGTCACATCAGAAATATGTTAAGCTTCATTGAAATTAATGTGATCCACACATGCTGACCTCTATTAACACTGAAGCCTAGGTACGTCAAAAGGATAGTAATTTGAATACTGACACATTCCAAACACATTTGCGCTAATGACATATTCATAGCATACACTGAACTGGTTTTCCTTTTATTTGTATGTCAGTCGTGTTACCTCCTGTGTTTGGATCCACCAGTCGCAGGTACGAAGCAAAGATGGTGATTCTTTTTAACACGTGGTGAACGATTAGGGCGAACCAGTAGCACATAGATAGGAAAATCATTACTTTTCTCCACACAATCTTCCATCTTGGTACGCAATCACATTGTTCTTGACTTATTCCCAGGGGTTACATAGTTTTATCAATGTCTATAGGAATCTAATGAGGAGGTTTTGAGAAAATGAAGTTGCTTATATTCAGATATATAATGACAACATACATGGTGGTTCAGTCTCCACCGATTGCCATATTGTAACACACACGGATGTTCAGTATCTACAGATTGGCACATGACAACATACATGGTGGTTCAGTCTCCACCGATTGCCATATTGTAACACACACGGATGTTCAGTATCTGCAGATTGGCACATGACAACATACATGGTGGTTCAGTCTCCACCGATTGCCATATTGTAACACACACGGATGTTCAGTATCTGCAGATTGGCACATGACAACATACATGGTGGTTCAGTCTCCACCGATTGCCATATTGACAACATGCATGATGTTCAGTATCCACCGATTGCCACGGATGTTCAGTATCTGCAGAACACACGGATGGTTCAGTCTCCACCGATTGCCATATTGTAACACACGGATGTTCAGTATCTGCAGATTGCCACATGACAACATACATGGTGGTTCAGTCTCCACCGATTGCCCATGACAACATATTGTAACATGACAACATAGTCAGTTTCCACCGATTGCCATTGTAACACACACGGATGTTCAGTATCTACAGATGTTCAGTATCTCCACCGATTGCCATATTGTAACACACACGGATGTTCAGTATCTACAGATTGCCATATTGTAACACACACGGATGTTCAGTATCTACAGATTGCCATATTGTAACACACACGGATGTTCAGTATCTGCAGATTGCCATATTGTAACACACACATGTTCATATCCACAGATTGCCAGTAACACACACGGATGTCAGTACTACGATTGCCATATTGACACACACGGATGTGGTTCAGTTTCCACCGATTGCCATATGACAACACACACGGATGTTCAGTATCTGCAGATTGCCACATGTAACATAACACGGATGTTCAGTATCCACAGATTGCCATATTGTAACACACACACATGACAACATACACGGATGTTCAGTCTCCACCGATTGCCATATTGTAACACACACGGATGTTCAGTATCTACAGATTGCCACATGACAACATGCATGTGATGTTCAGTCTCCACCGATTGCCATATTGTAACACACACGGATGTTCAGTATCCACCGATTGCCATATTGTAACACACACGGATGTTCAGTATCTGCAGATTGGCACATGACAACATGCATGTGCTTCAGTCTCCACCGATTGCCATATTGTAACACACACGGTTGTTTAGTCTCCACCGATTGCCATATTGTAACACACACGGATGTTCAGTATCTGCAGATTGCCACATGACAACATGCATGTGCTTCAGTCTCCACCGATTGCCACATGACAACATACAAGGTGGTTCAGTCTCCACCGATTGCCACATGACAACATGCAGTGTGGTTCAGTCTCTGCAGATTGCCATATTGTAACACACACGGATGTTGTATCTACAGATTGCCATATTGTAACAACATGCAAGGATTGATTCAGTCTCTGGAGATTGCCACCACATCGCAGAATGCAAGACAGTTCACCGATTCCATATTGTAAGACACACGGATGATCTGCAGATTCGACAACATGCAGGCAGTTCAGTCTCCAACCACATTCATGTGGTTCAGTCTCCACCGATTACCATATTGTAACACACACGGATGTTCAGTATCTGCGATTGCCACATGGCAACATGCATGGTGATTCAGTTTCCACCGATTACCACGGGGCAACATACACATTGGTTTAATCTCCACCGATTGTCACATGTCAACATAGACATTGGTTTAATCTCCGCCGATTGCCACATGTCAACATACACATTGGTTTAATCTCCGTCGATTGTCACATGTCAACATACACATTGGTTTAATCTCCGCCGATTGCCACATGTCAACATACACATTGGTTTAATCTCCGCCGATTGCCACATGTCAACATACACATTGGTTTAATCTCCACCGATTGCCACATGTCAACATACACATTGGTTTAATCTCCGCCGATTGCCCGCATGCCAACATACACATTGGTTTAATCTCCACCGATTGTCACATGTCAACATACACATTGGTTTAATCTCCGCCGATTGCCACATGTCAACATACACATTGGTTTAATCTCCACCGATTGCCACATGTCAACATACACATTGGTTTAATCTCCACCGATTGTCACATGTCAACATACACATTGGTTTAATCTCCACCGATTGCCACATGTCAACATACACATTGGTTTAATCTCCACCGATTGCCACATGTCAACATACACATTGGTTTAATCTCCGCCGATTGCCACATGTCAACATACACATTGGTTTAATCTCCGCCGATTGCCACATGTCAACATACACATTGGTTTAATCTCCACCGATTGCCACATGTCAACATACACGGTAGTTCCACCTTAATGTACTCTAAACTAGATTTGCCATGGCTATTTTAGATCGCATTTGTGTTATGTAAAACAAATATTTTGAGTTTAATGTACATGTTGTGATGATTTGAGTTTGTTTTTCAAAATTAAAAACTGTTTTGGACGTTTTTAGTCATGTGTGTCTTTACATAATTCAATCAGTTTTGAGGAAATCAGGTCAGAAAACACGAGACAGTCCTGCCCATAATTACCAATAATCACACAAGAGTGATTCAATGCTGGCAATGCTATAAATAGAATGAACTCTTCACCTTCTTTGTTAAAAGAGTATCAGTTTGGAAGAACACAAAAGAAACACACAAATTCAAAATAAATTTACAAAAACCTTTAAAAGACAAAAGGCTAAAATTATTAAAACAATAAAAGCGACAAAGCCAATGTGAAGTGTGGATGTAATGACTTGTCACACAATGGAAATAGCATGTATTTAGTTTAAGGAAGAAGAAAACCAAGTTCTATAGATAGTCAACTTCTTTATTACAATGAGTGCGACATTTCGGTGTAGGTACTAACACCGTTATCAAGCAAGTTTAATGAAGACAAATAACGCAATGAACTTTCAACAACCATGATGGCAGTATCTGCACAAACAGGAAGATTTGGATCGGACGGTAATAAGAAACAAGAATATGTTTATACATGGCCTAAACCACAGCTGTGGTAAAAATATATGAATTGTTTTATTTGATTAAAAATTAAATGCGAAATATAAGTCCAGAGTAGACTTGCACAATCTCTAAGGTAATAATTAGTATAAATGAAAAATAATTAATAGTCTAAAAAATTATATATATAAGAGACTGGGGTCCTTAGATGTACTGCCCGCTTATCTAGACTTCCCTCTGTAAGGCCATATATTAAAATATTCTTGTTTCTCATTACCACCCGACCGAAAAACTCGACCCGACCCTTAGATTTTTAAAAAAAAATTACACTAGAGTAAACGCAACTTTGACTCTCAAAAAGTGCATGAATTTATCACACTTATAAGTTTTGATTTTCTATCGTACCAAAAAGTACCAAACGAATAACAAACACAGTATGGAACTCTTTCTCATGGGCCTAGATTAGATGGTGTTACCTCAAGATTCAGGAAATGGTAAATCGAGTCGCACCATTGTGTCACCTGCACATCACTGCATAATTGTCTGAACACAACACATGCTTGAAGGAAGTGAGAAAACTCGCACAGCACTATCGATTTCTGGGTAGTGGTTAAAATACGTGCTCGTCCAATGTCATGCATAATTAAACCTTTCCGGAGACGGAATCTAAATCCTAACACCTCATTCCGTAAATGCTGGTTGTGTTTGTGACGTTCAAGGCCAAACTGTCCACGCTGGTAAATGTGGGTCACATCTGGACGCCACGGTCTACTTCTCGCCGTCAAGACCTCAACTCCGTGCACACCAACCTGGAACAGGCTATAACACAAATAACGCCTGTCAAAACTGTCGCCTCGCGCCATTGGTTAGATTTAGTCACGTGGACTTCATTGACAGGGGCAATTTTTTCCCGCAGTGTGTAAAATTAACGTACTTGTTTGTCGGCTTAGACTTCACTGTGCGGAGTTGACACGGAAGGTAGGTGCGTTGTATACATCAACATTGACGTTGACAATATATATGTAGCATCCATTGATATAACTGCATGTACTACGATGTTTGTGTTTACATTCATCGTCATCTAAATATTGACAAAAGTAGTGGCGGGAAAGAGCTGTAAAAGAACTGTTCATTGTTGGTATGCACACACACAAACTGAACTTAACGTGAATTGCACTATCATGACTGCAGCGTGTAATTTCATGTGTTACAAATGATAAAACCCAATCGTTTTGTTTCTAATTAAATAAAAAATTCCATTTAAATTTAAAACGCCCAAGCAAAGCATGTGGTTAGAACACTTGACGAAACTTGATAACCCAGGCTGCATGGCTGCAAAAGAGTGATATTAGATTTCACATGTCACTTCGGGTTTTCTGTTTGTTTTTATGAGAGCGTCTTAGCATGTGTTTGTATGGGTAAATATTCGCAGCTATCAATTAAAGTTCGTAGGTGAAGTGTAGACGTCTGTGCACACGGATATATATTTTGACAGTTTAAGCCACTTTAGCAAGTTGTTTTTCAGTTTGTATTTGTGAAATTGTTTTCAAATTATAGTACTGCCGGAACCTTGCATATCGCTGGAATTAACCTGGAATGATTCGTTTTGGAGAGTTTTATAGCTTCCATATTAATTCGAGGGCCAGATAGTATGTTAAAAATACTTAATATACAGGCTACTCTTAAGACACATTATTAGGTATTGCATGCATGGAGTTTCCAGGATTTTAAGCTAATTAAACAAATGTTTGAATAAATAAAATAATTTGTTCCAAACTGGATTGTTTTTATACAATTTGTATTTTCTTTGTTGTATTCAAAAGCATTTGAACAGTATTCAATGCATTTATGGAAAACCAGACCAAAGATCATTCAATATTTATGGGCCACTTAAACAGATTGCTACAGATAGAAATATATATTATAGCTTATAGCTACAATAAATACAATTTCATAACTTTTCATTACCTTTTCGGATTTGTTACCATGGTAACTGAAATTTGCTGCAGACTTGATGGTGCATGTAGTACTCAGAGCTGGCTTAATGGCACAACATGAAACTCATTAGTGAAATAACATTGTTTCATCTTTTTTGTCAAGGACGTGGAACAGCTGTATGTAGGTGGGGCTGTATTTAGTTCAATGAATTAGTTACATGTCTAATACAAGTGGGGCGGTGGGGTAGCCTAGTGGTTAAATCGTTCGCTCATCACACCGAAGACCTGGGTTCGGTTCCCCGCATGGGTACAGTGGGTGAAGCCCATTTCTGGTGTCCCCAGCCATGATATTGCTAAAAGCAGCGTAAAACTAAACTCACTCACTCTAATACATGTACCAAGAGGTTGCGATGACACAGTACTTGTTCTGTCAGCAAGACAATCCTTTTTCTTTTGAACTTTATCCAGGTTATATACCATATATTTTTAATGACTAAACTGTCTCTTTAGTCAATGGATGTATTTCTTTTAATAATGTAGATGGAATGCATTGTAGACAGATGGAAAGAACTTTAATGATCTAGAGTACAGCACACGGATCATTTGATTAGAAAAATTTAGATAAATTTTTAAATCCTTGGGCATTGGACTTGTTTCTGGAACATTCATGTAAGCAACTTATGTGGGTTTTCAGTGATGGAAATAGTTTTTGATCTGTGTGCCATGGAATGGTAAATACTGAAATGGCACAGATGAAATATTTTCACAGTGCCCTAATGGTACACCTAAAATTATAAAAATAATACTTATCATGATTGATCTAATGGAAAATGCAATAAATGTGACCAATTCAAATTATTGAAAACCAGTATTTGCGGCTCATGAAGCTATTTATTGGTACATTCAACCTCAGGTCGTAACATGGGGGTGGGGATTTGGAATCCTAGTGTCCATGACTGGAACTCAGGTTTTAGGTGATAACATATATGTAGGGTAGTTTATGGGTCCACGACACATGAAGCTGAACTGTTCTTGCAGACATGATAGTGTTCAATTAATCCTGCTCTCAAGTTAACAGGTTTTCATGAAGAATCTTCTTTTATCTGAAGCCATCTTAGTATTCTTACAGCTTTCATAAGTTTCTAAGACTTGATAATGACAGCTTGTTGTAAAGGGACTAAAGGCATCACATGGGCTGGCTCACTATCTTGGGTCCCAGGTGCATTGATTGATGCTCATGATATCGGTCATGGGATTGTCTGGTCCAGACATATATTTGCACATCACATAGCTAGAGTATTGCAGAGTGATGAGTTAATCAACAAACAAACACAGTTTCTTAAATGCTTTTGCTCATCTTCTGATGCTAAAGGGTTCATTCATTGAATTAATTTTATTTTATTTATTTATTTATTTATTTATTTATTTATTTATTTATTTATTTATTTATTTATTTATTTATTTATTTATTTATTTATTTATTTATTTATTTATTTATTTATTTATTTATTTATTTATTTATTTATTTATTTATTTATTTTGACCTAGACTGGAGCAATAAAGTAGCCCTATGGTTAAAGTATGCGAAGACTCAGGTTCGGTTCCCCACATCGGTACAATGTGTGAAGCCCATTTCTGGTGTCCCTCACCATGTTATTGCTGGAATATTGCTAATAGCGGTGTAAAACCATGCTCACCCACTCACTGATCTAGATTGGTCTAGGCCATTAGATTATTTCAGTTGCAGATATTCCTCAGTCATGAACCTCCCAAATGGGGGTCACTGTTTAATCACCACTTAAGTTCCCATCTTTAGAATATCCAGTCACACCAGCTATCATTGGTAAGCTGGTGTAAGTGAAATAGGTGCACTATAATTCCTCTCACTTAACTCCATTCTAATCACTGCTAATCGGTGTCGCAGATCACAGCTTGAATGTGTGACGCGGCTGATAATTGGATGATTGTTACACATGGGCTTGTGAGGCATGGAGATGTACAGAGGCTGATGGCCCCCTCACTTACCCCCATGTTGGGGTAATGATCAAAGTTAATAAGGTCATTATTTATAGGGTGGAACAGGATGCTGATTGTAATTGGTGTCCTGGTGAAACAGTGGGAGTCCTTCCTAGTCCCACTGTGCTTACTACCACAGGGGGACAGAGCTGGCAGGGTATAGTCAGTGTTCACAGTGTCCATTCTATGTTCTCTGTACATTCAGCATTGTCAGTGTAGTGCTTTCAATGTTTGTGAGTGTAGTGCTCTCTATTTGTGTCAGTGTAGTACTTTCAGTGTTTGTTAGTGTTCAGTGTTCTCTATACATCAGCCTTGTCAGTGTAGTGCTGCTTTCAATGTTTGTGAGTGTTCAGTGTTCTCTATACATTCAGCATTGTCAGTGTAGTGCTTTCAATGTTTGTGAGTGTTCAGTGTTCTCTATACATTCAGCATTGTCAGTGTAGTGCATTCAATGTTTGTTAGTGTTCAGTGTTCTCTATACATTCAGCATTGTCAGTGTAGTGCATTCAATGTTTGTGAGTGTAGTGCTTTCAATGTTTGTGAGTGTAGTGCTTTCAATGTTTGTTAGTGTAGGATATTCAATGTTTGTGAGTGTAGTGTTCATTCAGTGTAGTGTAGGGTCAGTTATGATGTCTGGTTCATGAACTCTGTGGTAAGCATGTAGCTAGCAAGAGACATACAGTGTTTTATGTATGTTCTTTCATGAACAGAGACTTGCACAGACTTTTTATAAGTACACAGATATGTATCTTTACAATATGAATTGCCAACTTCATTTGCTGCTGAACTGTTGAAAGTTATTTATGCTCCATATTGTCCCTATGATCATCCACTGGGTCTTTCAACCACTGAAGCATGCAATCTGACTCTGCTATCTAGACACCTAGAGGCAGGCTGTATGGACCTCATCACATAAAGTACATATATAACACAGTAGGTAGTGTATTAACAGTGGGACAATCATTCCTGCATTCCTAGGTGGTATAAAAGTACATTTATTCAGTTGGTAGTGCATTTATTAAATACCCCATATATTAGTGTGCCATGGAACGGTAAATATTGAAATGGCATGGCTAAAAATGTTCTCAGGTGCCCTTTTGACCTGTATTCCTTTGATTTTCAGAGACATAACTCACATTTAGTCATTTAATCCCCAAAACAATTTTGTTTTTCCAAATTAAATAATACCATACATATTTGAATGCTCATAAACCCATTTCTCTAAGGCACACTTAGAAAAAGTATTTCTATCCCTGTTATTATACAGTGGGTAGTGTATTAACAGTGGGACAATCATTCCTGTATTCCTAGGTGGTATAAAAGTATATTTATTACACAGGGGAGTAGTGTATTAACAGTGGGACAATCATTCCTGTGTATTCCTAGGTGGTATAAAGTATATTTATTACACAGTGAGTAGTGGGTAGTGTATTAACAGTGGGACAATCATTCCTGTACCTGTTCCTAGGTGGTATAAAGTGTATTTATTACACAGTGGGTAGTGTATTAACAGTGGGACAATCATTCCTGTATTCCTAGGTGGTATAAAGTATATTTATTACACAGTAGGTAGTGTATTAACAGTGGGACATTCTGTTCCTGTATTCCTAGGTGGTATAAAGTATATTTATTACACAGGGAGTAGTGTATTAACAGTGGGGCAATCATTCCTGTATTCCTAGGTGGTATAAAGTTCATTTATTACACAGTGGGTAGTGTATTAACAGTGGGACAATCATTCCTGTTCCTCTGTTCCTAGGGGGGAGACAGCCATTTGATGAAGTGTATGCAGGTTGAAGCAATATGGTTGGGTGGAATCAGCTAATTCTTCGCTTTGATAATGTTTAGCTTTCAGTATTTAAAGTGTTGCCCTTCTTGAATTTAACTTTTGAACATGAAATATATTTTATTTCTGTACTTTCCTATTCCTTTGGCCTAGGGTTGGGTAGCGCCAAAATGTTCAAATTGCGATATGTGTTGGCGTATTGCAATATGTATTGCAATATATTGTGAAAGTTTGTTTAG